AAATTGTGACATGTTTGGTGTGACTAGAGTTTTGTAACTCAGACCCATGGATGATAATAAGTGATCCTGAAACTAGGAAGAAATCAGATTTACAAACGCTTAGGGATCTGGGGGTAGGCCTGCTGAGGGGACGGGGTGAGGGAGACTACAGAGGTTAGGTTTTATTGCTTCAGAAAATCCCTGCTCATGAGGTCTCAGGACTTGGGTGGAGTGGGGGTCCCAGTAGCATAGCCTGAGACAGGAAGCTGAGTGCCTGGAAGTAGTTGAGGTCTTGATTAAGAGAGAGGGCAACAAGAGAGAAAGGAGAGAGAGCCAAGCGAAGCTGTGATCTTCAGTATAGCCTAAGCCTGGCCTGACAGAAATGAAGATCCCCGAAAGTGCCCCTTGGATCACCTCTCCAGCGGAGTCCAGCTGTGCACTGTGGGCCACTTTGGGACTGTGGGTCTAATTCTCAAAGGGAGGTGGCATCTGAGCCTCTGGAGCTGCTGAGGAGTAAGTGCCTTGATCCTTGACCCACCAAAGGGTTCCGCACCAGGCTTCCGTATTAATATACACACAGAACTCTGGTGTGAAGGTGAGTTCCATCTGCAGCATGCCAGTGCCTAGCCACTAACCCTGCCATTGCTGGTTTCTGGTGATATTCAGACCGTCTCTTTTAGGTAGCGCTCCATCCCTTAGCTGTTGGCATCCAGTGTGCCCCTCGTTGCATTGCGCACCACTGTGGTCACACTGCTGCTCAGCAGTTTCCTGGTGAGAAGCCCTTATAGGAATGACCAGGAAATATCTCATTCACTTTACATCAGTCTGTCTATCAGCGCTCTCCTAGCCTAACAGCCTGTGAACACACTGGGTGATTTGAGGCCTCATCTTCAAAGGTTGGCTCATCTTTACTCTCAATTCCACCTCTATAAGAGAACTCAGTTTCCATCCCATGAAAGAGTATTCAAGTGACCCTCAGACTGCTGCACTCTTACAGAAACCACACACACACACACACACACACACACACACACACACACACACTCACCACCTCATTTCTGACCTGGGAAGACAGAGTGGAGACAACAGCATCCCGAGCTCTGCTTCTAGTGAGTTCTAAAGTACCATCCAAATGGCTCAAGGATGGTCTTGGCCACAGATGTGGGAACGTGGGCGCTTCACTCATGCAGATAATACTGACATCACCCTGGGACAGTGGTTCCTGCATCTCAGGAGGAACATCTCTGACATCCTCCATGTCACTTCCCTGGGGATATATTTCAGACTAACGCACAGCGAGTCAAAGTGCAACTGCATTTATTAAAAGGTTTCTGGGAGGCAGGGGAGCAGACACTGCCATCCCACATGGTAGCCAAGGCCCCTTTAACACCCACATTAATTCAGAGACAAAGAGACATAAGGAAGGCATGCCTGTGTGGTCAAGGACCCCAGAGTCCTGTCAGGGCGGGGGTCGGGGAGAGAGTGCAGAGTCCTTTGTCTAGAAGGCCAGTGGAGCTGTGTGGAACAAGCCCTATGAAAAGCCACAGCATTGGTAAATGCTGCTCCCTTTTTGACTGGGAGCAAGGGATTATCATCTACAAGGAAGAGCATTAGATATTCTGTTTAATAGACACCTCCCCAGCCAGGCAAACGCCATATTCCCACCACCCAGACTTGGATCTATTGTATAAGTTAACCTGGCGCTCCAAAAATGTGGGTCTGGAAGAAAAGCCTTCATCACTTCTTCTGACGAAGTAGTTTTCCCATTTTTTAAAACAACAAGTACAAACATGACTCCCTCATGCTGGTATATTAGTTCCTAAAATTAGACATGAGGAGTTTATAAAAGTTTGAAAGAAACAGTTTTTAAGTTTGCTAAACGCTCACCATTCAAATCAGGCTTTTTTTAAAAAAAATAATAATCCCTTTAAGTTAAATATCTTTGGTAATAAAGGCAAATTAGAGAACAATAAATTATAACTTCTAGGCTGACCGGTGACTGATTGTAGATATTATAATTAAGTCTGGTTTCCTACACAAGGCATTTATCTTAATAATCATCCCATCCATTAGCATATCTTAAAGGGGTTTCACAAAGCAGGCCATGGCACTTGTAGAGACAACTGAACTCCTCCCTCGGCTATGAAATCAAGAGGTGAAATTACCTTAAAAATAAGTTTGGGTTAAATATAAGTTGAGAAACTCAGATTATAGTTACAAAAGCCTAACTTAAAAATATTTATCCCAAATACCCGCTCCGACCAGCAGCAGCACGAAGAGACTTCACTTCCCCAAAATCTCTAATTTCCACCAATCTGTTCGAAACTGCTGTCACCCTGCCAGACCTGTACTGTATCATGGAGAGCGCAGCTAGGTCCGGAACTTTACAGAGGGACTCGGATGTTTCTCAAAGTCCTGGCAATCACAAGAAGGACCAACGGTTGACAGTGGCAGCGGCGAGAGTGAAAGAAGCGATTTTCTTGTCCCTGCTCATTTTAAAAGTGGATGACTTCTCTGGCCCGACACCAGCCGAGTTCTTGGGGTTATGTACAAGGCAGAGGGAGCCTGTGGTGTGCCTGCTTTCTCTGGGACACGGTTCTGCCAGCTGGCCGTAGAGTCCATTTCTTCGAATAGCAGGGGAGGTCAGGGTTGCTTTGAAAGCTTGTATGAGAAGGCCCAAGGAGTTGCCTACAGCATCTTCATGCTACAAAGCCCTCAGGAGCCTCCTCTTCTGGGGAGACTCCAGGGCGAGCAGTTAAGCCTTTCGATACAGCTGGTGATACAGTTCTGGCAATTGTCCAAGACGCATGGGCAAGCCATACCAAAAAAGGCACTAGGAAGGTCAGACTGCAATACAGCATGCCCTGATTTTATCCGGGAGATTGATGCACAAATCACCTTGATTTCGATTTGGCACAGGGTTATAAAACGCACTTGCAATCACCGATAGCGCCTAAGATCAGGCCCACGCATGGGACACTGTATTTTATATCCCAGGTAGAGTTTTCCCTAATACAACCATAAATCAGTCCAGAGAGCAGAGACTCGGTCCGTGTTAACAGTCAGGGAGCATTACCAGAGAAACAGTCTTGAAACCTGGGGCAAGCTTAAAACTTTGTATCAAACCTACCCAGATGCGCCTTCAGGAGACTGCCCACAGTAGGGGGAGGTCAGAGAGGAGCATGGACCGTAAGACCAGCCAGGAAGAAGGCAGCACAAGAGGGCCAAGCATTCGCAGAAATCCCTGAGTCTTAGGCAGAGACACAAAATCTTGACAGGGGAGAAAAGGAAGCGCTACAGATACTAAGCAAAATGACCCACACGCACATATTTAAAAACACACATTGAAATGTGAGGAAGAGAATAAAAATGTGCCAGCAAGATGGGAGAAAATTTTAGCAGTCCAAAGAGAAAACCAATTTGCAAAATAACTCCTCTCAGCAGCAGCAGCAGCAGCTGGAGGAGGAGGAGGATGTTCCTACGTGTCTCTTTGACAGGCTCCCACAGAATATTTTCATCAGATTCATATACTCCAGGAAAATAAATACTGCGATTTCTCTTCTTCAACTCTCAGGCATGGGCTTTATAAACCATTTCCTAATGAATCCAAAATGGGAGCTCCTACTGGTCTAGAAGTGTCCACCTCAGGATCAGAAAAAAAAAAGGGAGGGGAAGGGTGCCTGGTCTTCTGCTGGGCATGCGGGTTTCAGTTGAGCCCCAGATTCTACCAAGGAAAACTGCTTTCCAGACCTCCCTCTCCTCAGACTATTGACCCCCATCACCCATGAGCATCCAAGCCAGTGAGCTCCTTTGCCGGCTGGCTCCAAAGCAAAGCATGAAAACGATAGGGATCAGAACATTTAGTGGGACTCCAGAGAGACAGAAGGTAGAGGTGGAAGGTGTTACCATTGGCGTTATTTCTCCACATGTCATCTAAGGCTTCTCCTTAACCTAGAGCCAATAAGAAAACCATCCCTCTGCTGGGGGCTGGTACAGATTCCTTCCCAAAGAAGATAGACGCCAATAGACAAAGCTTCCTTCAGCTTGAAGACAAGCTACTTCTAGCCAAAGGTTCATTTAACCATTTGTAGATTCCCAAGTTCCTGTTCCTGAACGTCACATAAGAACATGGGAGCTGCAGTTGAAGAAAGGGGAGAAGCCCAGGCCCCTTACCTGAGTGTGAGCGAGCCTGGGGGTACAGTGAAATGGGCGCCAAGCTGTGGGGATTCTTGTTCCAGATCCCCATTCTATGATTTACCTTTTCCATTAGAGTGGAAAAACATACATCATTTTTTTTTTTAAACCATCCTTTCTCTAGCCATACTTTATTGAGTAGGAAAGTTAACTTTGTAAGTGAAAATCAGGCCTGTGCTCAGAGGAGGAAAGGCATGCTGGGCGTGCACAGGGGAGGTTAGGTTTCTGTTATCTGGCTCCTTGTATCCAAATTAAGCTGCCTGGCAGTTTTCTATGTGAAACATAAACACAAAACAAAAAAGATAAGTCCAAAAGGAAGTTCCCAGCTGCCTTTGCCCTAGGTCAGATGTCAATTTGAAGTAACATAAAAATAGAAACAGAGCCAGGCCTCCGTGGCACATACCTGTAATCCCAGCACTTGGAAGGCAGAGACAAGTGGATCTCTGAGTGCGAGGCCAGCTGCTCTACAAAGTGAGTTCTAGGACAGCCAGGACAGTTGCACAGAGAAACATTGTCTCAAAAAATCCAAACCAAGCAACCAACCAAACAAAAAAATAGAAACAAAGTAGAAAGTAATACTCCCTCCAAAAGGCGGGGCAGCTGGGGAATTAGAGCCTGAGCGCGTCTCAGAGAGACCAG